GTCGCGAAATTCCTCTCGTGACCGTTCGCTCGTGCTCGATTGCAGGGACCTTGAAACGGCGCCGATGGACGACGACGCTCTCGTCAATTTGGATGAATCCCTTGGGAATTATTCCCTTGAATTGGATGCTGCGCGGACAGCGCGCAATGCACTTGCGATGGGGACGCTGGACGCGATCGCGGCTCGGCGCGTGCACCAGGCCACAGCGACCGACGACGCGATGTGGGCGACCAAGGTGCAATGTGCGTGGCGACGACACGTCGCCAAGAAGGTGTACGTGGACCTCTTGTGGGCGCAGTACCAAGTCGAAGAGGCACAGCGCCAAGCGGTGATCCGCCAGCACGTGGCCGACACGACGCGACTGCTTCAGACGTACCATGTTCATGGCCAAAGCTCGACCAACGAATGAGCCGTGTAGTCTCGACCTCCAAGAACAGCTTGCGAATGCGCAGTACTTGGCCAAACTGCGGCAGAACCACCTACACCGGTACTACGACTCGGCGCGTTGCGTCGTACTCTGCAGCGCCATGGCTAGGGTCGCGTACTCGATTCAGCGCACATATCGGGCGCACGCACGGCGCAAGCTAACGCTCAAGCGGGCAGCCACTGTTCCCGCCAACCTCGGTCGCTGAGCCCGATGCTGGTCCGAGCTTAGCAGGAGCCTACCAAAACGAAACAAGCCCGTTCGATCGAGGTAGTCGTGTAGCTGCACGAGAATACATGCGCGAGGTTGTGCGCTCGCATGCCCAGCGTTGGGTATCCCGGGCTTCCTCACGCATTGGCCCAAGCGCTCCAGTACTGTATGCACTTGTTCAGTCGTCTTCACGACGGACGACGGCCGTGGAGCAGGATCGGCACCATTGTCCACCCAGAAGTAGAGCTCGAGGGAACGGTTGCCCTTGCTCCCTGGGCCTCCACCTTGCAGCTGCTGCAGTTTACTGTCGTCGGGTTGCCACTCTCGCATTACTACGTCGCTACACTGGTCCTCGCTGACGTCACCGTGTCTAGTCGTCCGCGATCGTCCACATCGCCAGCTACGTATACAGCCCTGGCTGTGTGCCCCACGCACCCCGTCAAGATGGGTGCCACTCTAAGGATGTGCTCGTGTGGTTTTCACGTGTGTTTTGAATTGCCCACGCGTGCGCCACGTCAGAAACTTGGTTTTTGTAGAGGTCTATTTTACACATGCGAAACCCCACGTTTCCGACCATGTGGCAATTGGCACTTCAAGTTGCCAAAGATCGCGACTCGAATCTCGGATTACGTGGACAAAACCCCAAGTCACTTTGCACATGCCATTTGCCATTTTTCCCATTAGACCAAGGTCACGTCGATGCTCGGCCGCCGCCGCATCCACGCCTGAAGCGTCGGAAGCTCCCACGTGCCGTCGACCCACACGTTGGCGCTCTTCTTGGAGAGAGCAAGGCGGCGGAGCTTCGCCGCGAGGTTGAAGACGACAAAGAGCCCCGACGCGGAGAGTGGTACGTTGATCAGCGACAGCGCTTCGATCGCTTGGTTTGCGCGCAGGACGAGCGCGAGTTGCACCTCCATGTCGGCGACGTCCCAGCCCTCGAGCGAGAGCTCGGTGATCGCGAGCTTGGTGTGGACGATCTCGTGGGCGGTCAATTGCCGGCACCACGCGCACCGAAGCACGCGCAGCGATGGCAAGGCAAACCCGAGCGTGCGCAGCTTGGCGCAGCCCGCGAGGTCCAGCTGCCGAAGCGAGACGCACGACGTCAAGGGCGCGACCGACGTGAGCTCTGTGCAGTAGGCGAGCGAGAGCGACGTCAGCGCCCCGAGGAGCGGCGCGATGGCTGCCAAGAAGGCGTCTGTCACGAGGCGGTGGCTCGCGCGGAACGAAAGATGCTCCAGGCCTTTCGCATGTCGAAGGAAGAAGGCGACGCGCGCCGCGTCCGTGGGTGAGCAGCTCTGGAACACCACGTTTTTCAGTTGCGCAGCGTAGGCGAGCACCGTCGCACGGAGGCTACGGCTCACGAGCGCCACGTGCAAGGCGTCGGCCGTCGGGCCGAGCGAGGCCAGTACGACGAGGCCGACATCCCGGGGCAAGGCGGCCAACATGGTTTCTGAGTTGGCGCTGGATCGAGAAGGCGCCTCTTCGGCCTCGCACCAATCGCAGCGCTTGGGAGCAAGATCGCCTGCGCCCGAGCCCGCGATTGGCCTGCCGTTGGCCAATGAGTCGCCTCAGACTCTGAGAGCTCCAACACGGTTGCTTGCTTCTACATCCTGGCTACTTGCATGTCCTCCTCTGCTTGCGCACTGCACGTAGCAATGGCGATGGAGCAGCAATGGCAGTGAGCAATGGCAGTGTAGTACTGTAGCTGCAGCTTGTTGGTTGACAACCCTTCAACGTGGCGCAGGTGACGCTGGTGCCAACGCCTTGGAAAGGCTACCATCGAAGGCGGTCAAGGTCGGACGTTCCTCGTAAGGTAATACGGTACGCTGACGACCGACAGGCTGTTTCGAAAGAGCCCATTACAGCTGGTACCCGCATCGGAAGAAGGATGTGGAGCGATTGGCGGGCCCCAGGCCGCACGAAAGCGCTGGTTCTCGTGGCGTGGGCCTTTACCGGGCGCGACGCCGGCAATTCCGCGCCATTTTCGCCCGGAGGACGCCCGTACACCTCGGTGGACCTTGCCCAAGTGACTCATCGGTCGATCTGCGTCGCCTGGCGCTGCAACGTCGGTCTCCGGGTCGCCACGGCCGCCACACCCCGCGCCTCTCGGAGCTCCAGCCGCGGGGCGCCAGCTCCGTTCGCGAGCTCTAGGCTCAAAATGCATATTTTTCGTTTGGGTGCCGCGCTGCACGCGCACTGATTGGCTAAAAAGCCGCTGGCCTCTTGCGTGTCGCAGCTGCGCCTCGGAGCTGAGATCGCTGGCTCTGCGGGCGCGCTCCGCGATGGCGTCGGGGCGCCCCGCGCGGCCCGACCTCTGTATCGGCGCTACGGGGCCATTTGGCGCCGGCGCCCCGGGGTAATCCCCACTATGGCGACCGGCGAGCAAAAGGCGCGCGGTAGCGAGGCCGTGGCGGCGACAGAAGCCGCGGAGAAGGGCGTCGGCGATGGTGGGCGACGGCGGCCAGCCATTTAAGCGACGCCACCTGCTGCGCCGCATGGGGTGGCCCAGAACAAGACGGGCGGCACGAGCACGGGCGTGGTTGGCAAGCGCTCATTGGTGCAAACGGCGTCTCACTCTGGCGACGCGGCGTCGTCATCGGTCTTGGCAATTGTATGCTGACGAAGCAGCTGGCGACATTGCTCTTGTGTGAGTGGCCAAACCGATTTGAATATCAAGTTGAACCGAGAGTGGCGACTCGGCAGCAGCTGGCGACGGCTTGCGCCGTGTCTCACGCATGGCTTCTTCGCGGGGCGCCCCTCGAGGTGCAAGCAAAGATGGCAAGACGGAGCTCATTTACGATCTTGACAAGCACCAATATGAACTGTTCACCGATGACCAAGCCGACCAACTCGCCGATCGCTGTCGAGGCCTTTGACGTCGACATCCTCTACGACGAGTACCTCAGCCCCGACAATGCGGTCGACTTTGACTTTGACTTTGACTTCATCGCGCCGGTCGCCAAGCCCACCGCCAAGGCCGCCACGTCGACGTCGGCGCTGCTCACGAACCCGGCGACCGCGCTCTTGCTGCAGAAGCCGATCAAGTCGCTGACGCGCGAAGAGAAGATTGCGCGCCGCCGCGCGCAGATCGCCAAGTCGGCACAGAAGCACCGTCTCCGCATCCGCGAAGAGATGGAGTCGCTCCAGGAAGAGCTTGTCGCGCTCGAAGCCAAGCTCGCGGCGCACCAAGCGTCGGACGCGACTACGTGGAAGACCAAGGCCGCGAACGCGCTCGAGATGCGCCAGGTCTCGGAGGCCATGAACGCGTCGCTGCGGCAGTCGCTCAGCGAAACGACGCTCTGCGTCCACCACTGGACGACCTTTATGCCCAACGTCCACGCCGTCGTGGGCACGGACGCGACGCTTCAGCACCTTGTCTAGCGCCGCCTCCTCCACCGCTGCTACCGACGACGACGACAACAGGTCCATCCTCCCGGCAGCACGCCCTCCGTGTAGTCTCTGTCTCCATGATCATATTTATTACCTCTCTTTACCCACGACGACGAGACCCTACTCCAGCATGAGGCGGCGGCAATGGAACTGGGATCATCACGGCGCGGCCTGGTATGAGCCGCGCCCACCCGACCCACCGCGATCAAGCCAAGCTTCCGAGAACGAGAACCAGTACGAGAACCAGAACGAGTACCAGAACCAGAACCAGTACGCTGCACTTGGCGCCTAATGCGCCGCTAATGCACCCTGTCATCCGTGCGGGCCATGACACTTGTCATGGTCCGCGTCCGTGTCTTGTGTTTGCCGACGAGAGAACGAGCAATAGAAATGGCAACCTACCGACGCCCATCAAGGGCCGTCGGAGAGATCGAGAAGAAGATGCCTGCCAGGTGGATGTATCATAGCCGAGCTCGACTTCATGGCAGTCGGTGCACAATGGTCGAGGAGCAAGTGCTGCCCGCGATTCTTACAAGCCCACGACGTGACATGCGAGGAAGCGCAGTGACATGATGAATCGTCCAAGTCGGTGGCTCCGGCGCTGCAAGCAAGACCGGTCGTCTCAAGTGTGTTTGATGTATCCATGGCATCAAGCCGCAGGCGGTCTGTGCCATATTGGCGAACGAACCATTCCATCATAATGGGATATGTACTGGATGATGCTTATGCTTAGGCCGACTCGAGCAACAGCTCTTGGCGACGTGCTTGGCCAGCGTACGGGCCGAGGGCGAAGAACGTGTCGAGGTCCGTGCGCTGCTGCTTGCCTACACCGTCCTCATCATCGCATTTGTTCCGCACTGGACCACAAGCGTAAGTACCGAGAAGTGCCTTGTGCGGCGACGCAAGGATCCCGTCGACGAGGGCAAACTTCCACTCGCGCGTCGTCTTGGTCGGTTCCGTGGACCGGTCCAGGAGGTACTCGACGAACCCACCGTAGGCCAGAAGCGTCTGCAGTCCCCACGGGTGACCTACATATTGTCACCGTCGAGTCGGATTCTTCTCGAGACAGCTTCTATGCAACCTTGGGCGACCACGGCTTGGAGGAGCGTGTACACTGCAATTCGAATGGCATCGAACGGCTGGCGGAGGCAGTCCATCAAAAGATGCATCGTCGAGGGCCGGCCGCCGCCGAGGGCGCGGAAGAGCGACTGGTGCAAGGTCCAAATCGTTGCCGTCTCGTCCGGCACCACTGTCGTCGAGAGAGTCGTCGGGCGCGCGAGGATCGTTGCGAGTGCCATGAAGCAGTTGGACTTGACCTCGAGGACGGTCGAGTGCGCCGACTCGAGAAAGAGCGCGATCAGCGTCTTGTGCTGCAGCAACAGCCCGAGCTCTAAATCGGATTGATACATTGATATGATACTTTGAAACAAATACCGTTTTCCGACGCCGACGCAAAGGCCGCAGCGGCGTCCATGGCCGCAATCTTCTGCAGCGCGTCACCGACTTGGAATGAGTACTCGATCGCGGCAAGGAACGCCTTGGAGAGCGACGCGTCGGCCCAGTTCCACGATGACACCCCGATGGCGGCGGCTTTGGTCGAAAATTGGCCAATCAGACGGAGCGCGGCGCCACCAATGAGCGGGTCTACGCACCGACTCTAGCCACAAGACAGTACATGGACGGACCTTGGACGGTGCGGATCAAGTGCGTCAGGACATCTGCATGATCAATGTTAAACTATAGCACGTGGCGAAGGCGTACCCGACTGGAAGACGAGCACGAGACCGGCTTTGGTGTTGCAAAGCACCGGAATGATATCAAGAATGTTGAGCTGGAAGAGTGCGTCCTTGGACTGAACTCCGTCGAGAATCTGCGTCAGAGTATACATGAGCAATGGGAGGATGGCATATATGGGGTCGGGACCGGCTGGAGGAGGCCGCGGCCAAAGCTCTCGTGCATGACGTCGTCGTCGACGCTCGCGAGTTTGGCGATCGTCTCGAGCAAGCGAACGTACTCGACCGAGTTGCCGCGCGAGAGCCTATCGCAGTCGCCATGATCCTTGTGTTGCGATATGTGTGTTTGTGGACGCGTACACTGGCAAGTGCTCTTGCAGCAGCTCGGAGAGAAGGCGGAGGATCGCATGGTAGATGCCGGTCGCCGGCAACGACACGAGCTGCAAGAAGCATGAGCCAACGAATAGTCGTGCGGCATGGCGTACCTTGAACAAGAGGTCCGACGCTTTGCGTGCAACACCCGGATCGTCGTCGAGAATGCAGCTGCAGACAGCGTGCAACAACGCCTCGTCGCTCTACACAGGAGGCGTGAGCGGGACCACAGGTTGGATGCACTTACCACACGGTCATGAAACTGCGGCAAAAGCTGGTGGTCGAGCATGTCTAGCGTCAACTTGCGGGCCGAAAGCTCCGTGTGGCTAACGCCGGCCAGCAAGAAGGGCCCCATCTCCTCTTGAAAGAGAATGTCGGCGCCAAGGGGCGAGCGAAAGATGCGCTCGAGGCATTGGCACACGAGCTTGACCTACGCGCGCAGCGTCAATATGCCACGCTCGGGGAACGAGCGGACCTGCTTCGTCTCGCCCGCGTCGCTCGCGGCCTGGAGGCACTGGAAGATGGCTGGGATCGGGACTTGCGCAATGAAGTCGCGCACGAGCTCGCGCTCAAGGGCGCTATCGCGGTTGCCGGCGGTGGCCACCGACCGCGCCTGGAAGGTGCTAAGGGCAGTCCACGCTTCGTCCATCGCAGCTTCTCGAAAATGAAATCCTTCGGCCAGTTGCATTCGGCACCGCCACGCAGATGTCGTTGTTTTCGGCATGGCAATGCCGCAAATACGGCGTGATCTCGTGGCAGATGCCGTATATAATATCGGTGGCAGCTTCAATCGGTGCGTTTTAGATTTTCGTGGTCAGACCGACAGCCATGGCGAAGCGGAAGCGGTCGATGAAGGACGCGCCGGCACCGGCGCCGAAGAAGGGCAAGGGAAAGGCTGCCGTGAAGCCTGCGCCCAAGCCGGCGGCCAACGACAGCGAGGAGGACGAGGTCGAGATGGACTTTGAAGAGCTCGTGGCCGCCGGCGCTGCGTTGCAAAAGCTCGGCGCCGTCGACGCGGCCGCCGAGACGTTCGCCAAGGCGCTCGCAATGCAGCCGGACGACGTCGATGTCATGAGCTCGCTCGCGCATTCGTACGAAGCCTGCGGTGAGAAGGTCAAGGCCATTGCACTCCACGAAAAAGTGGTCGCCCGCGTCCCGACCAACGCACCCACGTGGTTTGCACTCGGTGCCTTGTACCAAGACGTCGAGAAGCTCGAGAAGGCGATTGGCGCGTTCCGCAAGGTCATTGCCCTCGACGACGTCAACGCGTCTGTGGCCTTTGCAGCGCTTGCCAACGTCTACGGCGAACAAGGCGATATCGACGGTGCCGTTGGCGTCTTCGAGTCGGCCGTCGCCAAGGACCCGACCAACGCCAAGTACCAGTACAACCTCGCGACGATGCTTGTGGCCCGCGGGACCAAGGTTGACCAGAAGAAGGCGATCGCTGCGTACGAGACGGCGCTGTCGCTCGAGACGAACCGCCAGCGCGATATTTACGACGACTTGGCCGCGCTCTACGATAGCATGGGCAACACGACCAAGGCGGCCCACGCACGCGAGATGATGGCCAAGTGCCCCGAACCCAAAGACGAAGACGAGCAAGTTGATGCGAACGACGACGATGACGACTATGATGACGACGATGACGACGATGACGACGATGAGAAAGACGAGGATGACGATGAGTCGAGTTAGGATAAGAGCGGAATGTGAAATTGCTTGTTGCCAATCGTGACGGCGACCGCGTCACAGTCGATGAGCACCATCGGTGGCGGGGTTATCTCGATCGCGACCTCGGCCTCGACTGAGGGCACGAAGGGCGTGGAGGCGACGCTGACATGCGGAATCGGGTCCTACATGGTTGCTGAGGCAACTCGCTTTTGACGAAGGTACGGTATACGCTGTAGTAGGGCGGAAGGTCGAACTGGCGCATGCAGCGATCGACGCACGCAATGATATGACAAATCTACCACGAGGCATACAGCCTCTCACATGCGTCGTCTCGGCGCGTACCTCGGGCTTGCCGCGGACCAAGGGCGTCGCTGCAAACAGGCGCGTCTTCTCATCGTTGACGAGGATCCGGTGACCTTGGAGCACCACGCGCGTCCTACATGCTTCGGTTTGAGATTGCATTCGACGACGTTGTAGTGTGGAAGGAGACCGCTTGCGGTACTTGAGAGCGACGCGCAAAGCCTGGACGAAGGGCTCGATTTGCTCGTAGCGCAGCACAAACGTGCGCGAGAGGCTCAAGTGCAGCGAGCTCGAGTCCTGATCGCCATCGCCATCGTTGCCCTTTGCACCCTTGGACCGCGGGTCGCCGAGCGGTACGAGACCGAGGGTATGCTTCGGGTATGCGGCGTCCGCCATGGTCATGGCAAAGGTCTTCATGGCCTCCATGGCCGGCGTCAGCGGCACTATGTGCAGGGATGGCATCGTGGAATATGTAACATGTCTATATACCGGCAAAGTAGACATACGATGGCCAGTTGCCATCCACATGCGCAAACGTCCGTGTCCATGCGATCGGCGGTGCCACGCGCTGCCGCTTCGCTGGCGCCTCGTCCTCGTCCGACGACGACGACGACTCGCTGTACGCGACCAGCGCCATCTCGCGGTATCCGGACAATTCGATCTTATGGCCGGATACGATAACGTTATCTTCAGAGCAGCAGCAAGCTCTTATGGTCGCCCCACTCAACCTCTTATGTCCGCACGAAGCAGAACGCCAGGAAGGAATCGTGCTGGCGATAGGTCGCGTCGACCGGCCATGTCTTTGCTTGGGGAGTTGAGATTGCACTTGCATTTTGGCGCCAAAGCCACGTGTACATACCGGTTGTCCATCTGGCCTTTTACGGTACCGACCACTACTGTACAAGAAGTTAGTAGTACTACTAGTACATCCTGACGCTGGTTCGGTCAGTCGCTGCCGACTAGCTACTGCCCTGGCTGAATCGACCGAGAGAACGTCCTGCTATACTACAGTGTAGTCCGTCTTCAATCCAGCGCCGCGGAAGCTGTAAATAGTGTTGGTAATGCGGCGGATGCCGAATGGAGAAGCCTATTTTAGGACAAGTCCTAAAAAAGTGACTGACTGCGTGGTGTCAACTAGGAAAAAAGAAACCAAAACGCCCCGGAATCCCATACTAGAATCCCTACAAAACCAAACAGCCGGGGAGCATGGGTACGTGGCCATGGGCCGCCAGCATGGAGGAAGAGCGCTCAAGACGATGGCTGCATGTAGGGGACGAACTCTACCCGATCAACCTCTTGACCGAGGAGATGCGCACGGACGAGACCGAGACGCGGATCCGCAGCATGCGCCGGCTCCGCACGGTCGCCCAGGCGCTGGGCCCAGACCGCACGCGCTCCGAGCTGCTGCCGTTCCTGTCCCGTATGACCATGTAGACGTCGAGCGCGATCATGATGCGTCCTGCCTTGTAGAGTCGACGGACGATGAAGACGAAGTCCTCGTCGCGATGGCCGAAGAGCTCGGCGAATTCGTCGACTTGGTCGGCGGCCCCAACAGCGCGTCGGTGCTGCTTGGCCCACTCGAGGTGCTGGCGACCGTCGAAGAAACGGTCGTCCGTGACAAGGTACACCACGCTCGTGCACGCGACTGGCATCTCATGCTCGTTCGCAGGCTGTCGCGTCGATCCAAAAGGTCCTCGAAGTGGTCACGGACGCCGGCGAACTTGCCTTGCCGCTGGTCAAGCGCTTGACCGAAGGCGACTGGTTCACGTCGCGCGTCTCGGCCTGCTGGCTCTTCCCTGTCGCGTACACCAAGGTGGACGCGTCGAGCAAGAAGGAGCTCCGCGAGTACGTCCATCTTATTGCATCTCACCTTGCACATGTCTAACGCGCCTTTAGCCTCTACACGACGCTTTGCGGCGATGACACGCCCATGGTCCGCCGTGCGGCTGCGTTGAACATTGGCGTACGTTCCTCCTCCATACGATGGTCGAGCTGGTGTTGATGGCGGCGCGTAGAAATTTGGCGCCAAGATGGAGAAGGATATCTTTGTGAGCACGATCCTGCCGCTCTTCAAGGTCCTTACGGGCGACGACCAAGACAGCGTCCGCCTCTTGGCGATTGAGAACTGCGCGTCGATCGCCAAGCTCCTCAACGAAGACGAGAACACGCAGCACGTGCTGCCCGTCGCGCGCTCGTCGTGCGAAGACCGTTCGTGGCGCGTGCGCTTTAGCATCGCCAAGGACTTCTTCCCCGTACGACCATTCTCTTGTACATGGCAGACGGAGGCTCATACCAAGGTAGCTGGCCGAAGCCATGGGCGCGAGCATCGCGGAAGGCGAGCTCCTCCACCACTTTGTGCAGCTCATCCAGGACGCCGAAGCCGAAGTCCGCGCCGCGGCCGCCAAGAACATCTCGGGTTTTGCGAGCTTGATCAAGTTTAGCACGTTCATGGCCGAGGTCTTTCCCCAGATCCAGCCGCTCTCGCAGGATGTCGCTCCGAACGTCCGCAGTACGCGCCTTGCATACGTAGTCCCTGGATAGCTCACCGCAGCGTAGCGGCCGTCTCGATCGTGTGCATGGAAATCGCCCCCAAGCTCGGCGAGGATGTGACCAAGTCGTCGCTCGTCCCGATCATGCTCCAGTTCCTCCGCGACGACGTGGTCGACGTCCGACTGAACGTCCTGAAGCGCATGAGCGCCGTGTCGCCGTGGATGCACTCGTTTGAAGGCACGCTCTTGCCCGCGATCACGGACCTCTCCAAGGACTTGCAGTGGCGCGTCCGCGAAGCGGTCATCCTTGCACTGCCGTCGCTTGTGAGTTCGTTGGTAGGACGCACGCGACACGTATCGATGTATCTCATCGGGTGGGTTAGGGTGCGACGTACTTTCAGGAGCACCTCCTCGAGATGTTCCTCAACGCATTCCAAGACATGGTCAGTGAAGTCCGTTTGAGCACGACCAAGATCCTCCAGGAGATCCTCCACGTCGTCGGCAGCGACTACATCCTCGAGAGCATCTTGCCCAAGCTCGCGCAAATCTACGACAGCTCGATCATCTACCAAGAGCGTGTCAACGTCTTCCACGCCCTCACGGTGTGTATTCCTGCATCCGCATCCATCTCATGCTGGCGTAGCAATTGGCGTGCGACAAGACGTCGCCGGACCTGATAGGAGAGATGACGACGCTGTCGATCCGTGGCGCGAACGACAAGATCCCGAACGTCCGGTTTACGGTCACCAACACGCTCCAAGTCTTAGGGAAGCACACGGACAACCCGGCGTTGACGGGCCAGATCAAGTCGTGCTTGGCGCACCTCCAGACAGATACGGACCCGGATGTGAAATATTTCGCCTCGGCCGCGCTCGAGAGCGTCTCGGCGTAGACTGCACCGATAACGACAACCCGATGCATGCATTTTCCATGTACATAACTTAGCGCCACACCTTGACGACGCCGTCCCGCGCGCTCGACACCACCATCGGGCCGTTGACATCGACGAGCTTGAGGTCCAAAATGCAGTCGTTGTGCGCCGGCGACGGCGGGATCGGGCCGCGCCGTTCGAGCGCAGGGTTGGGCGCGACGCCGTCGGCCGTGCTGTCGCCAAAGTACGACGACGCGTCTTGGCACAGGTGGATCGTCGGCGGGTCCATCTTGCTCCACACGAGCTCGGCTTTCGTGACCTTGTCATCGCCCTTGAGCTTCCACCACCCATGCGGCGCGTCTTGGCTGTCGTAGAACGACGAGGCGTCGCCGCCGCAGACGGTCAGCGACTTTTTGGGGTTGCGGAGGTCCCAGAACCGAATGCGTCGGTCTTCGCCGGCCGTGAGGAGCGAGTACTCGGACGGCGTCACGATCGCGCGCACGGTCGGCTCTTCGGTCGACGTCGTCGTCGCAATCTCGTCGAGCGCCTGCGTAAAGTTCTGCGGCCCGAGGACGCTCGCGAGTACGTCCTTGGCTCGGCTCGGCACTTGGACGTGGTGCAACGTCGGGCACGCGTCGGCCTCCGAGAGCTGCACTTGGGTGTGCAGCGTGCGAAACACGCCCCGGCACGCGCCAATGCTCAGGTCAAACACCGCGACCTCCGAGTCGCCGGCGGCCACGTACACGAGCGGCGAGTTGCGCGCGCTGTCCGGTCGGCTGGCCACAATGTAGCATGGCTCGAGGCGCTGGATCGCGTGGAAGGACGAGTGGCGCCACACGCGAATGAGCAAGTGGTAGCGCAGATCCCAGAGGCAAATGTACCCGCGGCTCGTGCCCACAGCAAGCCACGTCGCATCTAGTGATGCGATCAGCATGATCCAGACAAGACTCGAGACGCACCGGACGAGTGCGTCATGCACGTCATATGGCCAAGCTCGACGCTCACTTGCAGTTTCCACGCCTGCCGACGGAAGCGCAGGTCCCACCTAAGCTTGCATTATGAGACAAACATTTCGAGCTACTATCCATCGTACCCGTAGATGGCGCCGCTCCGCGTGCCGTAGACGAGAAGGGACTCGGTCATGTTGTTCATGTAGTCGAGGACGACGACCGCGTCGTGGGGCACGTGCATGTCGCGAAGCGGCACGGTCTGGAGCGCGCCGGTCGAGCTCATACGCTCGACGCGCACGACGTGGACGGTCCCGTTGCTCGAGCTCGTCGCGAGCGAGTGCGAGTTTTCACAGACGACCATGTCGGTGAGCACACCGCCTTGCGCGTCGTACGTGCCGCGACTGCCTTGGTTGATGCTGTGCGCGAGGCTGCGCACCGACCAGAGCTTGACCGTCCCGTCGCTCGACGCCGACGCCAAGAACGAACTGTCCTGCGCGACGCCGAGTCGGTGCACAGGCCCCGTGTGCTCGGTGAGCTCGGCCGCCAAAACGCTTTCACGCGGTCGCCAATTGCGAAACATCTCGGCCGCAGTCGACGCGGCCGATGGCACAATCGGTCCAATCATCGCCGACGCCGGCGTGCCCAACGCCGACGACGGCGTCGGCGGCAACGACGGTGTCGACGACGGTGTCGGTGGCGCACTCGACGGCAGTGCATTCACCGGCAACGACAATGGCGCTGCATTCGTCATCGCATGCGAATAAACCGCGCCTTCGTTCGTGCGGAGCGGGCCCATGTCGAGCGGCAGCGGCGGAATGTCGAGCGCCGTCAGCCGCGCAAGGAGCTTGTGCGAGTGAAACAGCGCCGGGTCGTGCACGTGGTCGTGCTGCAACACTTTTGTGCGCGTCGCCGACTCGTCGTACACGCTTTGGTACGCGTCGGTCGCAAGGCTCCCGGTCTGGAGGCCGTAGAGGCGGATAATGTGCGCCAAGGGCATGCTCTCCCACTTGATGAGACCGGCCTCGCGGTCCTTCTTGGAGCTCTGCTTGAGGACCGCGCTAAACGGCTTGAGCGGCAGCGGCACGGTCAGCGCGACCTTCATGCTCGGGACGCGCAGCGAATGCAGTGACGACTTGGGAATCTTGCGCGTGAATGGGACAAACGGCGCGTCCGACCCGTTGTAGCGCGCACTTTGCTCCGAGTGCGTGAGCTGGATCTTGCTGCGCATGTGCATCGACGCCATCGCAATGTACTGGTGCATGAGCCCGAGCCGGACGCCTTCGTCTGTCGCACTCGACCCGATATAGTACCGCTCGTAGCGTGCGATCGCTTGGGCGCTCGTCGACTTTTTCAAGTCGTTGGTCCCGTGGGGGTTGTACCCGTCGAGCGAGTCTTCGCTGTTGAACTTGATGCGGCGCGCCGGCGTGATCGAGCTCTCGAGGTGAAAACTCTCGTCGCCACTCTCGGCCTTGCTCATACTCGTCTCGTCGTCCGTGTCGTCGGCTGCTGCGTCGTGCAACAAGAGGCGCGGGCCATTCCGCGCCATGAGCGCCGCGTCAAAGGCTTCGCGCGAGACGTGCGGCCGGAGCGCGTCCCGCAACACGAGCGCCACGTCGTCGTCCTTGCACAGCCGCACCTTCTTGCGCAGATACGGGTGCAGGCGCGGCACCAAAAACACATTGCGGTCGACAACGTCCATCTCTTTGGCGATCGCAGCGAGAAGCTTGAGGATCGCGCTGCGCACCCACCAGCCCGGATGCAGAAGCAGCGGCGCCGTGAGCTTGGCCTTCTCGAGCAGCGCCGTGCGCTGAAACATGTCGAGCGCGCAGAGGTTCGCGAGGCAGAGGAGCGCGCGCGCAATCACGAGCTCCTGAATGTCGATGAGCGCTTGCTCAATGCACGGCAGAATGTACAGTTCGACCGACACATGCCCGACAAACGAGCACACGCCCGTGATGAACTCAAAGAACGTCGCGCGGAGCTGCCAGTCGCGGTCGTTAAGGAACGTAATGAGCTGCGGCAAGACCACGTCCAGCGTGCGCTCGCGGCCAAAAAAGATGCACAGGCGCGTAATGTCGTGCAAGAGCGCGCGCTTGACGAGGCTCGAACTGGCCTTTTGGTCGGGCGCCGCGATCTGAATCACAAAGCGCGAGACCAGCAGATGCAGCCGGTTGAGCTCGTCGTCAAACGTCGAGAACGTTGCGTCGCCGTTCTTGCCGTCCTTGGTCTTGCTCTTGGTCTGCCGCGTCGACTCGAGCGACGTAGCGTTCGCGGAATTCGCATGCAGCGCGCGCATCTTGAGCGTGCACGAGATCTCGAGGAAGCGCCGCGCCGACTCGGCGAGCGACGGAAGGCACTCGGCAAACGCGATGCGGACCATTTCTTCGGCGTCCGACGGGAACGACTGCAGCGCCGGCAAAATGTACTGCGGGAAGATCGCTGCGTCCGAGAGCGGAAAGATCTTGACGAGCGAGAGGAGCGACGTGACGCAGCGAATGGCTTCGGCGCGCACGGCCGCACACGCATCGTCGAGGACCTCCATGACGAATGGCACGAGCCGCTGGAGCCGGACTTCGTCGTCGGCAAACGCGCCAAGGCGCGTAATGAGCTGCAGGGCAGTGAGCTTGGACTGGGGCACACCGCAGTGCCGGACACTCGAGCAGAGCAGTGAGAGGATAATCATAATGCCGTTTTGGTGCGATGGCAAGTGCGGTGGCCGGGTCGAGACGTCCGAGGCCGGCAACACGTCGCCGTCGTCGACGCCACTGACCGACGCCTCTTCTTCGCGAATCGGAGGGCTGGGCTTGATCGACGCCTTCTTCATACGCTTGAGCGTCTCGTGCTTGCGCTTGGCGTACACGCTAAACTTGGCCTGCGTCAACAAGAGCGTCTCGGCCACGTGCTCCGACTCGTCCGTCGGCGGCGGGCCGTCCACCGGGTGCTCCATCTCACTGTACATGCGCTGGGCAACGTCGTCCGTGAAGTGCGACCGGTCCGACCCGTACCCTTCCTTGAGCCGGTGCGTAAAGAACGCCTCGCCCTCCTTGTCGTCGACGCCGACGAGCTCGCGCACGATGCGGCCATAGTACTTGCACACGAGCCGAATCCGAGCGTCCGGCAGCTTCCCGCCCCGCGAGAGCACGAGCGACATGAAGCGGAAGAGGAACGCGTCAAAGTACGCCGGAAAGATCGACTGCGTGTACTGGAGGCGGTACGCAGCTGCCGACGACCGCTGGCGCGGGTCGCGCTGCAGCATGTGGCGCAGCATTTCGGCGAGCGCGGGGTCGGTCTCTTGGAGCTTTCGGATTGTTGCGAGCGCGGTCATGTCACCGGTCCGATACCGCAACAGCGTCGGGAGGTCAAAGAGCGGCTTGCCGCCGTTGAAGAGCTCGGCGATGACGCAGCCGGTCGCAAAGATGTCCATCGACTCGTGGAGCGTGCCCTTGGGCGTCGCGGTGGACGAGGGCGTCGACGGCATCGAGGACGGCGTCGCGCGGGCCATGTTGACGTGCTTGTCAAACTCCTCGACGCTAATGTCGCTGTCGGCGAGGCGCGAGAGCACGTCGCGATGCGAGCCGTAAAAGCGCTCGGGCGCGACCGAGCACGACCGGCGGGACGCGTCGCTCGCACAGAAATAGTAGTAGTACTCGGCCGGGTCGTCCTCGGGCATGTACGTGGGCTTGAACGGCGCAAAGTCTGTGAGGAAGATCCAGTTCCAGCTCGTGACCATGACGTTTTCCTGCTTGATGTCGCCGTGGCAGATCCCGCGCGAGTGGCACTGCTCGAGCGCCTTGAGCAGCTGGAACGTGATCCACTTCTTCTCAATGTCGCAGAGGAAGGGCCGCGTGCAGATGCGGTCGTAGAGGTTCGCGACAAAGTACTGCCGCACGAGGAAGGCCGCGTTCACTTTGGTGCTGAGCTGGAAATGGGCGTACGGCACGATGTTGGGCGTCGCCTCCATGACGCCAAAGGCCGCTTGCAGCTGCGCGAGCTGGACGCGCGCGGCCTCGAGCGACTCGGACGTGTCGTAGCGCCGGTAGAGCTTGACGACGACGACGCCCTCTTCGCACTTGCACTGGACCGTCTTGAGGAACTTGCCGTCGCCGAGGAGGTTGCTGAAGACGAGGTTCATGTTGCTGCTCGGGAACTTGTACTCCATGAGGAGCGTCCGGCACTGCGACGCCGTGTCCAGCTGGCTCGCGTTCGCCGGGACCGCCCGGGGCGCTGCGTTCCCCATGCGACCTGTTGTGTAATGCGACCGTGCTTGCTCGATTTAATGCAAGAATCAATGGCACATACATTTATCCACATAAAGAGGCATAATTATATTCCACGTCATGACCGCCGCTGATTGGCCCGTTACCCGACACGTGCGATCCCGCCGGAGAAGCGAGCGAGGCAACGACGACGACCGGGCGCGACGACGCCCGACGACGAGGTTCGCCGCCGCCAGGCTGCACGACGCCTTGCGTAGAGGTAGCGACCGACTGTAGCAAGACATTGACCGCGAGAGATGCGACAAGAACGATAGACAAGGTGGTAATTAAGGCCATGCATTTTTATCTGGACAAAGAGAGGCTAGGCGGCGCAGCCCTTGCCGCCAGCGATACGGAGGCACGCTGTCGACTCGAAGATCGACAAGAGGTTGGTCAAGATCGACCATGCGAGACAGAGAAACGCCGTCGAGAAGGCGATCACAGCGGCGACTTGGCTCGACCCGCCATGGCGTCGAAGGGCCTGCGCCTCAGCCTTCTGGCGCGGCAAGAGCCACAGCGTCGCATTGCTCAAGAGGCGTACGCTGTACATGATCACAAACGTGTAGGCGACTTGGCGGCGCACGTACGGCGTGTCTTTGGCAATGTCATCTTGGAACGCGTCAAAGTACCCGTCGACCATCTTGGAGAGACTCGAAGCGAACGGCTGCGCGAGGTTCGAGACTGTCGTTAGAAGGCCGTACGTGGTGCCTTCAAAGCCGACTTCAGCAACCTCCACCGTCACGTAGCCCGAGACGACAAACCGGACGCCTTGGGGGATGTTGCCAAGGACCGGCGCGCCGAGGTAAAACCACTGGTTGCGGAGTACGTCAAAGATGGTGAGGAAGCTCACGGTCGCATCGAGCACCACCATGGAGACTGTCGTCACGAGAATCAGCGTGCGCCAGCTCACGTTCAAAAAGTACGTCTTCGTCAAGTAGAGCGAGAGCGTCAAGAGGGCATTCGCGAGGACCACAAACGCCGCACTGTTGAGCGGCTGGACCCGCGCCCAGTCGCGCTGCACCACGTTCGATGGCGTCGCTTCAAAGTCAAAGAGAAGCGCGTTAAGGAACGAAAACGCCATGATCTGCCAGATCGCGCGCTTTTGCGCAAGGCGCCACATGGTCTTGCAGCGACTGACAAAGGGTTCGCCCACGACTTGCTCTTCCTTTGGGAAAAACAGCGTCGCGGGTATGCCCAGCGCCGCGCCGCACGCTGCGAGCACCATCATGTGGTTGAACGAGAGCGACCAGTTGAAGCTGCCGCCGTACGCGCGTCCGTTGAAGCAAAAGCCGACGACCGCCGACGCCAATGTTGTGGTCGCATACCGCACCATGTACACCGTGGTCTGCGTCGTGCCGCGGACGTGCGACGTCTCGCGCTGCGCAAACTCGACGACGACCGCGTCGCAGGCCACGTCGGCAATCACGTAGCCAAAGCTAGCCAGCATCATGAGGAGGATGTACTTGGCCCCTTCGTTCGGTGCATTCTTATTGAGGACAACACGGGCGCTTGCGTTCGACGTGCGCTGGAGCTCGCCGGGCACATAGTACGGCGCGCCGACGGGTAGCAGTGCCATGATCAAGAGGAAGAGCACGCAGAGACTCCAGCCAAAGAGGATGTAGGGCCGGCGGCGGTAGCCGCAAATCGGAAACGAGTCCGAGACAATGCCAATGACCATCTTGAACGACCAGGGCAAGCCGACAAGGACCGTCGCGGCCGTCGACTGGTACCCGTCCATGTTGAGGTACAAGCTCATGAACGGGTAGATGGTGCTGGGGAAGATGCCGAGCACGAGGCCGACGCATCCGTAGTTGAGGAGCAGCCCAATGTTCTCGCGCGCATACAGGTTGGGCGACCCGCCCTTGCGCAGCGCGTCGACTTGGACCGCGCCGGCCTCGAGCGCGCTATCGTCGTCGTCCGAGCTCTCGTCAAAGGTGGCGTCCGTGTCGGCGACGCTGCAGAGCGGCGAGGGCAGCAGCGCCTTGGTCTCGGCGCCGTCGACCTCGCGCAGGTCGGATGGAGACGTCTCCTGCACGAGGGCTTCTTCTTCGTCGGCCTTGAGCTCATGCGCCGGGCGGTGGCGGACCTCGGGGGCGCTCGTCTCGTCCATGGCGACGTGGCGCGGACTCGCAAACTGGCCAACGTTCGTTGAGGCAATCTGACAACGTTCGGGTTCGTGGATCTCGCCCAGGTCGGCCTTTGTTTTGCATATTTTAACGATTGTATAAAGCCATAAACTGAAAAGCATTGAAAAAGCAAGTATAGTGTATGCATATTCGAGGCGGACATGGAACAACAGATGGTTTGGTTCGAAAATGGTGTGGTGGTAATGGCAAGATACTTTTAGTGTTATCTGGGATCCAGCATTGCAATCGCGCTAGGAGCATCGAGCAAGCTCCAGGCGCGCGCAGCACCGGCTTTGGACTCTCCTTAAGCTCTTTGCCTACTTCTTTGAGACCTCTCAGATATCGTTCGATGGCCGCCATCTGCTGAACGCAAGAATATAAGATATAAAAAGCGAGCATCTTTGAAATCGTTAAATAAGCCTCCCGATCCTGGCGCCATCACTCTCTGCCACGACAATCCGCTACGGTCGCCGCAGGTATGCTGCATGGTGGACTACCCGCGCTCCAGCTGCACGAAGAAGCCGTGCTCGACGTCGCAAGCTGCGAACAACCCGTGAAGAAGGAGCTTGACGAGGGTCCGACGACCGCGCTGCGCCTCGGCGGACCCATCGACCTGTACGCACGCGAGAACATCGGCCTGCTCATGAACTACGCCGCCGTCGGTCTCGTCCATGGCACGTTTCCCAGCACGATCTACCCGTTCCTCAGCATGTATCTCAACATGGACGGCTTCCAGGTGGCCGGCGCGGCCGCGCTCATCGCGCTCCCCTGGTCGTTCAAGATGCTCATCGGCGTCACGTCCGACAGCCTCCCGATCCGCGGCCGTCGTCGCCAGCCGTACATCGTGCTCGGCTGGAGCCTCTGCCTGCTCTTCCTCCTGTTCATGGCAGCGACGCCGGTCCACGCGCCGTACTACGCACCCGGCGAGATCCAGCGCACCACCAACGCGTCGCTGCGGGTCGTCGCGAACGTCCACGCATCGGGCCAGGGCATCACATACGTGGTGCTCATGATGCTCGCGAGCTTTGGGTACGTCATGGCCGACGTGGCGTGCGACGCGGTCGTCGTCGAGTGTGCGCAGCGCGAAGAAGAGGCTGTCCGTGGCCGCACGCAGACCACCATCTACACGGTATCATGGCCACCAGCACGTTGACTTCAATGAAAACTAGGTGCGCTACGCGTTCCAGACCTTCGCATCGGGCATTGCCGGTCTCACACTCAACGGTCCGTCGTACGGCGGGAGCTTCAACTGGGGTCTCTCGTTCAACAACCTCATGGCGCTCACGAGCCTCGCGACGCTCGTCGGGCTCACGGGCGCGCTTCTCTGCTTCCCCGCCGAGACGCCGTCGCCGCCTCTGGCATTTGGCGCGCGCTGCCGGGACCTCTGGCGGCTCGCGCAGACCCGTGCGATCTGGCAGCTCATGGCCTTCTCGTTTCTAAACGCGATGCTGTTTGATTTTGAGGCCGTCCCGTCGCTCGTGGTCCAGCGCGACTGGGCGCGTGTCCAGCCGCTCAACGCCGCCATCTTCAATGTCGTCTCGCTCCTCCTCATGACAATGGCACTCGTCTACACGAAGAAGCACCTCTTGCAGGCCGATTGGCGAGTTCTCATGGCGGTCACAACCTGCTCTGTCGTGGCGCTCGATGCGACCGTGAGCTTCCTCACCATCTTTGACGTACTCCGCAACCAGTGGTTTTACCTCGGCGCGCCGGTCCTTGGCAATATCCCCCAAGGCGTCCGGTTCGTTGTGGCGACATATGCTGCGGTGGAGGTTGCCGAGGTCGGCTTGGAGGGCACCACGTACGGCCTTCTAACGACCGTCTCGAACCTCGCGCAGCCGTTCGCTTCGAGTCTCTCCAAGATGGTCGACGGGTACTTTGACGCGTTCCAAGATGACATTGCCAAGGACACGCCGTACGTGCGCCGCCAAGTCGCCTACACGTTTGTGATCATGTACAGCGTACGCCTCTTGAGCAATGCGACGCTGTGGCTCTTGCCGCGCCAGAAGGCCGAGGCGCAGGCCCTTCGACGCCATGGCGGGTCGAGCCAAGTCGCCGCGGTGATCGCCTTCACCTTGTATGTCGTCTGCCTCGTTTGGGCTGTCACCACCAACGTGCTCTCGATATTGCCAGCCACCGCGTGCTTGCGTATCGCTGGCGGCGACGGATGCGACCCGTGAGCCAATACGGGCAGTCCAAGCACACAACACGCGGACCCGTCGGCAGTTCAAGTCCTGGGAAGCGCAGGCCGTACACCAACTTGGCGCCGTCATCAATTATTCGTAGACAAAACTGGTAACAAAACTCAGACCGCAAAATGTCGGGCAGGTCGGTCCCACATCAAAGCACCGCATCTTCAAGTCCCACAGCCCTATTCCTCGTGTAACCCTAGCCCTGCAGCGCTACACTCGCCGTGCACAAACAAAGCAACTGTCGCGCCGTGTTATTTTAGTAACATATATGTATAGGTCTTGAGATATCCTTGGGTCCTTGCTGTCGTTCCTGGTACTACGCTCGTGCCGATCCGAATGGTATGATTCATCGTAACGACTGAGCTAATATTTGGGGTCCAAACGCGTCGAAACTTTAAAGACACACAATTCCCGCAGTTCTCCTCCAATGACGATGGGACTTGGTGTTTTCTAGTCTCCAACGTGTCTACTATCTTGGTGCCAAATTTCAGCCATCCCATTTTTAATCGCGGTTTGGCCTCAAATCCTCCACACGAGGCGGCTGAGGTGTGGCGCGCATCCTTTATCCGTACATATCGGCTTATCCGGATTTGCTTCCGTTACATTGGCCCCGAGCAAGGGTCAACAGAGGAACATCTCTCGGTGATAATGACTACGGCCGACGCGTGCCTACGACTCTACTCGGCTGCATCTCCATCGTGCACCGTAATCGAGTCTTTTTCATTATGCTCCAGACTGTTTTTGCTACCGACGAGCTACTGCATGGCGTCGTCTTGGTCACTTACCTAGCCCTGACATGCCCATTCGAGGTCGCGTTCGTTGATCGGTGTTGAGACGCTGACTGCCAAACTACATCTGCTGACATTAGTAGTTGCACTACCATGCTAGCGTTGACAGCTCGGACCGAAGCCAAAGCAAGACTTTGAGTGGACGGCGTATGGAATGAAGCCGGGATGTAAGCAAAGAAACGTCAAATGATCGAGCCAACGACGAGGATCTCCGGATATCATGTAGAACAGACAATATGTACACGTAGTGTTCAGTCCAAACGACGTGCTCACACTTTGAGACGCAGCGGGAGACCAATCGAAGCATGGCGGGCGTTTATCCGAACGATTATTTTTATCCGGAGGGTTGCCGCCCGCTTGCAGATCATTTTGCGATCTTGCAGGCCATGCAGCGCACGACGAAGATGCTGACGCGCGCCGAGATCGCAACAAAAGGCCCGCGCCCACCGCGAGGCCAGCACCATGTTCCACGCCCGAAGTTGTGTGTTATACCCTTGGCATGTGAGGTATCTACCGGTACTAGACCGAGATCTCCATCGTATACAAGCAGCCCAACATCATTATCCATGATGCATCGGTCGACATGATCAGCTTGACGCTACCTCACGAGAGAATGAGTCGGAACTTGACGGCGCGGTCGGGATGCGAGATGTAGTCGATGAGCGTTTGAATAAAGTTGCTCGTCTTGCGCTGCCACTTGAGGAACGGGTTGGTGTCCTTCATTTGCGCGATCGCAATGATGGCCGTGACAAACTCTTGGTAGATGAACTGGCCTTCGTTCAAGTCGTCTTGGCACGCGTTGAAGACGACGAGGTTCATACTCGACGGGAAAAAGACCGCGTCGTTCAGGCCAAAGTCGACAATGAAACTTTCGAATTCGCCAAAATTCATCTTCCACGCCTCCATGTCGGCCACGTCCTGGCGGCAATAGTACAAATAGAGCCGTCGCAGCAAGTTGCGGTGCCGGTTCAATAGGCGCTGGAGCTCGGGCGCCGCGACTTGGCGACGGAACGTGATCGAGAGGTTTTGGCAAATGTTGGGCAGTAGGTACCGCGTGCAGAGGTCTTCGAGCAAGATCGCGATGCGCTCGGGCTGAAGGAGCTGCAACTTGGACTGCTTTCGATCTATGAATGGTCGCTCGACCGCGTGCTTCTCAGTCGCGAGGCGGATCATGAGCTCGATGAAGCTCGTCGCAAGGAGCCGATCGGTCTCCTGCTGCCGACTCACGACCGCCGAGAACACCAATGTCATGTGCACGATCGTAAAATGACTCGAGCCGAGACCGACGTCGTGCATGAGCTCCTCAAACCCGTCGAGGGTGATGCCGCTGAGGCTGTTGCACACGAGCGAGTACGACCGGTACACGTCGTTGAGCTGCCACGCGTAGCGCTGGAGGACGCTGTCGATCGCCGTGCACTCGTTGGTCTGGATGCAGTGGTCAGGGAAGAGGTCTCGGATGCGCGCCGGGTCAATGTGCGAAAAGTTCGTCATGAAGTCCGACGACGGCGCCGTGTACAGCGCTGCGTTGAACACCTGGTGGCCCGTGACCGCATCGGGAATCGCTAGAATCCCTTTCGCGATCAAAATGAGCTCGTCCGACCGTGCGAGCTCGGCAATGTAAAAGTGGTCGCCGCCAGCGCCGCTCCCCGGCTCAAAATTGCGCGACCGAAAGCCTCGAGCGGCGCCGACACGCCAGCACACGTGCATGAGGTGCCGAAGCAGATTGAGCGACAGGAGTGGGTCCGTTTCAGTCTGGTCGTGCACGCTCAGTGCTTTGACGAGCCGCTGCTTGATTTGCATGACGTGCTTGGCGACAAAGGGGTTCGAGTCGCCTTCGCACGCCACGTAGATGCTTGCGACGTGCGTGTCCCAGACGTACTGCAGTGCGGCGTGGGCCGACGTTTTTTCTTCGGTCGAAATCGAAATTTCCGTAAACGGCGCGGGCAGCGAGACAAAGTCGGGGCGGAACCACCCGAGGGACGTGGCCGTGTACACAAACGCTTCGTACGTGATGCCGTGCGAGTAGAAGCGGCGCGTCGAGAGCACCTTGAGCGTCATTTCCGTCATTTGTCCAAACGACAAGTGCGAATCGACGCGCGCGAGCACGACAGCAAACTGGATCGTGGTCAAGACGGCGGTCTTGCGGGCGTCGGTGGCCGACCCGCGGCGGCGCTTGGTGGGCTTGCGCGACTTTTTCCGAGGCTTTGGGAGCTCGCTGGCCTTGCGCCGCGCTTTTGTGGCTTCGGTTTGACGCGACTCGACGGCTTCGAGCGCCTTTTGGCGCGCTTCGAGCGCAACCGCTTCGTCGTGCACTTGGTTGAAGAGGAGGCGCACCGACTCAAAGAACCAGTCTTTCTGCTTCTTGTACATGAGGATGAGCGCGTACAAGAATATGTCGAGCGGGTAGCAGTCGTCGCCGTGCAGCTGCACAGTGAACACGTCGAGGAGGTCGTGGAACTCGCCGAGGTAGATCGGTCCCCGGGCTGTTGTGTGCTCGAAAAGCCGCTGGCAGTCGTACATGGCGTCGAGCGACGGGTGGCGCTGGAGCGACTTGGTGGTGGACGACAAGTGATTCGCAAACCCACAGGTCCGGAACCGCAGCGTTCGAAAGAGCGTCCGCGTGAGGAGCTGCGCTTTGAATCTGGAAATGTAGTGGGGATGGATTTCTGGTCGCGTATCGAGCTCGGCGCCAATCTGGACCTGGTCCATCGACTGGATAAGCCAGACGTAAAAGTCGAGTACTTCGTCCGAGTGGGCGCCGTCGACGCATTCGGCAAACATGCGCACCTCGCCGTACACGGACCGGAGACGGTAGATCAAATCGAGAAACGCAATCGCTTCCTATGTTGCCACGTCATATAAATAGATTGACACATTGAAACTTTGATACCTTTTGCGCCAAAGCGGGATCGAGAAACGTTGCAAAGTGGTGCCCGACGACAATCTCGACGAGCGTCTCGCGCGGCTCGTGTGCGATCGACGCGCACTCGTCGAGAAGCCGCTTGCGCTCAAAGATGTCCAATATTGTCTTACGTACAAAGACGAGGTCGGGCGGCGCTGCGCTTTGCGTCAGGACTCGGACCGCGCTCACCTCGACGTGACCATGCAGCTTGAGCTTGGATACGGCGGTCGCCACGTTGGCGAGGACCTCGGCGTTGGGCGTCTGCCGGAGCGCCGCTGGTGGATTCGGCGGCGCCGGCAGCGTGTAGTTGAGCATACTCAACAGACGCTTGGCTGGGTCCTTGGACATGAGCGTCTCGAACGAGATGTCGGGCAAATCGGCTTCGTCGACTTCGTCGCTGTCGTCGTCGAGCACGTATGCGGTCATGATCGCAATCTCTTGGGGCGTCGGGAGCACGCCG